CTGTTCATAATGTTTGATGAGACCCGTTTTACGCCGAAGTCTGGTATTGGGGAGTATTTGCAAGTTACAAATCTGGGAGATGCAAAACGGGTCACGAAGCTGCTGTGTTTTGCTTCTCACATTACAGTTGGCCGGTTAGATTTTCATCAGAATAGAGTAATCAAATGACAGCTAGATTTTGCGGGTTGCTTGGCCCACAGCTGCTCTTCCTTGAGAATCGAAGCTCACAAAAGGAGTAGTAACGCTGAACCAGGCCACCAAGTACTCTATCTGGCACAGAAAACGTTTTCGGTATGAACGTACAGGGATCTTGGCAACAGTTCTGATGCCCTGATAGTTTATAACATTTAGGTGAAATGTGATTATTCAAACTTTGCACCTCAAATGTACACAGTTTGAACAGAAGTTTCGGGCGCGTAACATCCTTTCTGGGGATGCAATTAACGAAGTGAATAAACCTCGGAGACAGTTTGCAAAGATCACTTTCATTCAGCAATGTTGTGGAGTGTAGGATGCTCCGGTGACCTGTTTTGTTGTTGGTCTGTTCGCAGAGCTTGGCAGTTGAATTGTAAAGGTTTCATCACCAATGGAGGTGACCTTGTCGATGCATTCGCCCATTAAGGTGCTCTTTGAACTAACGTACGGGGTTTTGAATAAAACGCTCTTGCATCATCTATAACAGTAGACTTTACACAAAATAAAAACCGTCAGCAGCAGTAAACGGGACGAATTCGTGTCTGTGGTTTTGAGGTTTTAGGGAGGACTGCAATGTTCAATAGTTGGGTCTTTCTTTTGCTGAAGCTTGGTGGCTCACTATCTCCGTAGACTAATTTTATCAATCAGCATGCATAAAAAAATCGCTATAAAGTTGGTAATTTTCCAGGAAAAGCACTGGTTTAATTTTCCCATACTGGTGCATTAATATAGGTTCCACGCGGTTGCTTTTATAAAAATTATACCTCACGTTAATTTTCTGGAAAAATTGCGACAGCTGAGGTTGGGCTCTTTCTGATTACACAAAAACTCATTCAGCAGGTGTGCGGTCAGTATTGAAAGTACTGAATTATGGTGGACAAAGTCCAGAGAGTTTATAGCGACGATGGTAAAAAGCAAATCAACCAAGGACGTTTTCAGTAACAACTGAACAGCTTATCAGCAAGCCGCGTTCAAGTGAATCAATTGAGCAGTGATAGAAACTTGCTCTAGATAATCTGAGTTGGCAGTTATCCTCGACTGGGTAGTGATCTTCCAGGGTATTGTTGACACCATTGATTAAGCGATTACTTACCAAGTTGAAATCGCAATTTAAATGAAGGTTTTGAAATAATGACCACATATGTACCCAAGTATCGTTCAACAAACCGACAGTTACTACATTTCGGCTCTATACTGTCACAAAAGGTGCATAATTGCAAAGACTGCAGAAATAAAAATTATCACACCCATCGGAAAGTGGGCAAATATAGACATCAACGTGGCAACCCTTCAACAGCGAAATTGTTTTTAAGGGGCTCACGGATGCCTTGTCCGCTCCACTAAGGTTCCCATACAGGTAAATGGAAGCTTTTCATTCACGTGATTTTCTACAAAATGTTTTTGATCAGGTTGAAGTATACATTCTTGTAATGTTTGATTTTATAGTTGTATTGAACTTGATTCACTAAGAATTACTTCATTTCCACACTGGTGCCAAGGTGGATAGCAAAAGTTTGGGATCTGAAAAAAAATTGAAACACAAAGCAGAAAAATCCATGCGGTTTTTTCACAAAGCATTAGGACTAGAAATTTTACCAAAGATCTGGAGAATCGATTGTGTCTAGGTTCTCACCAAGAATGATCATAGATTTTAGGGAACATTTCCAAAATCCTTTTAATCACAGACAAAAATCGTGTGGAAAATGATACCGAAAATTGAAAGTGTTCGGTAAAAAAATTTATCCTACCAATCTTGTCCGACTTTAACTCACCACAAGAAAATGTTTTATTGAAGAGAGATGTTGAAATTAGTGTTGACGCTTGTCTGGCTGCATACTGAGCGTTGAATTTATCTTGTTGTAAGAGCCAAGAAACCCAAACCAGAACCTCTACGGAATGGATTTAAATTGATTTTTTACAACTGTGCCACCCCTGAATTTCTGGGCTTCTAAGTGATAATGTTATTCCAAGAACTTTATAATTATATGTATTGTCGTGCTTCATAAACTTCGATCTTCAGGCAAATTCAAACTTCCAGACTTCCATAGCTTTCAAAGGAAACACATTGCAATGGGAAATTGGGTGATCTCTATGGAGGATGGAAGTTTAGTGTCTAGTGACTCGCCCTTTTTATTATAATGATGAAGCGTGGACACAGCATCAGTTTCACCGAAATCACGCGATGATGCCCCAGTTATCTACTCCCATTTTGTGGCTAACTAGACTCCGGCTGATAAGGAGAGCAAAACAGATCTTACACTATGTAAAACGACAGTGAGATCAATCTAGTTTAGCCAGCAGAGTTAGACTTAACATGAGGATATGTTCGTGTGTTTCCGTGTATCTTGAAGGCCGATGAGATGGATAACGTTTGAGCCAAATAACGTATCGCATTAAACACAACTGTCTGGCAAACAGCGGTCCGTGAACGTGTGCATAATTTAATCCTGCGCGCACTCACGCGAGTGCAAATGAAACCACTGAATTTACCCCGTTCTTGACGATCATGCTAATTGTCGTCTCTGCGTACAATCGATTCCCGCCTTTCCTTATCGCGATGATTCATGTGTAAAAAAATTTCGCTTAGCTAGGCACACCACGTTTTGTGCACCCAGAGACTGAGTAAAATATGTTGGCGTTTCATTCACTTTTATTGTTATTTGAAAGGCTAAAGAACTCAAATGAGTAGAAAGGCCATTGTATTTTTCTTCCTGAAAACTTGTGTTATCTCTTTCAGTTTGTCATACACAAGAATCAATAATATACAAATGAAGTTTTTCAAATAAGTCGATCTTGAGCAAACCCTTGGCATTCCGGCGATGAATATTTGCAACCAGTGCAGAACTTCTCAGGTACCTGTAGCTGCCATGTTCCTCAAGCACCACAGACCCATTTTTTCGTTTCTTTCTCGCGCGGAGTTGTTTCGGTGTAACTGGGGCTTACAAAGCAGGGCAAAATGTTTCATCAGTGCAAGTCCCACAAAGTGCATCATAGACGATTGATTGAAACTGCAAATAAATACTCTGAAGTAATTTTCGCACTATATCGTTATAAGAATTTAGGAAAGGGAAACATTGTGCCGCACAACAGGGCACAAATCTTATCATACAAAATAAAATAAAGACACTGGATTTCTTAATTATAATGTCTTCGGAGGTTTAGGTTTATTTAAACCCGTTTATTTTCACGATTGCCATTACATTAATCGTTCCGTTTACAGTGTGCCAATGCACATGGAAACAGCTACTCTTATGAGCTTTAGCTAGTTCACTTTGATATTCAAAATCTTTTGCGGAACCTAGATAAACACCTCTGACAGAGAAAACGAATTTGCATAAAACAAGCTTGGCTTATGTTACAATACATGTCGAGTGAGCGATAAAGTAACCTTGAACTAACCCAGATAAATGAGTGTACAAGTCCAACGACCCTCCATAAGGGTACCGGACGCGCATTTCAAAAGCGAGCGCGATTTATGGGACACAAAAATGCGCATTTTTGGCCTTTTGGTGTACGCACTATTCAGTCCCACAATTTGTCTTGCAAGGATTATCAACTACGAAGATTGTGGTTAGTTGTGGATACTTTTCCAAGTTATGTGTAGTATTGTGGGAGGTTTTTTCTTCGCTAGACATGCGCGCTTTAGCCATTAGCCGGAAATATTATTTTATTCTAAGCGGAATGTAATTCAGTATGGCCGGCTCAAATTGTCAGCAACGTGTTCCATTAGATGCAGTAGATCTATACTTTAGTGATTGGTACATAATTCCTTCTGTGGTCGATTTGTCAGACAGGATAACACCTGAAGAATCTTAGGCGCCGTTATTAGGGATTTTTATAAAGGGGTGTATATACACCAAATAGATGACACGTACATGCTTATTTATTACACTTTGCCTTGTTGTTAATTAACTCGTCACAATAAAATGAAGTGTGACACTACCCTAACAAGTATCCTTTGCTTATCCAATATAATCAAAACTAGTGGGACAGACGTACCCAAAAAAGTCATGTAATAGTTAACATCAGATCTTCTCTGCTGCTGTATGATCGTAGGTAAAAAGGAGAAACCCAATGTGGCTTTGGAACATACATACATATTCATGCATAATTCACGAATCCGTTATTGCACTTGTTCTATTACTCAGGTTCGAGTGACTCGTTTGTAGTCTCGGTGAGTATTACGCCATGCAATATCCTGCCCTGTGTTCTGATTCAGGGGAAGCCATATACAATAGAAATAACATTTATAGCAAGTAAGTTATTTTCAGCTCAGATCCCAGATTATTTCGTTTCCCGTCCTTATCACTTGTGATTTTCAGTTTGAAGCAAAATAAGTCAAGTAATCTGTTATGTTTGAACAGCGGATTAAAAGTAGCAAGTGTTATCTGGTCCTATTCTTCTCTCAAACTTGAACATATATTGAAGATCACTGGACTGTAAATTAGATGAGCTGATGCCTAACTCAATAACGTCCAATGAATTAAAATTGGACAACAGACATAGAGGCGTCTAGCTTCTGATGGTCAGTGCTTGGTTTATCAGATTTCCAAGTATCACAATTAACTAGAATTTATTGCTGAGTACCAAGACATGGTTTGCCGATATTCAGCGATTTATGTTACCTACCTCAACTGGATTTGTGTGTCTCCTTCAGTATCTTGTCTGTAAACTTCTACAACCATTGACGCGGATTTAATGTGATCAAGATTACTGCTTGAAATTCAGTCACCCTATATTTAAGAAGGCATATGACAATTTTGCTATTTAAAACAACTGTTCTCTTGTTAGGTGCACACATACAGAGTGAAGATGCACTTATACAGGTAGTGTATGGTGATGTAATCAAAACTTTCCGGATGCGCGGATCGGCAAAGTACCAGCATCTGGATCCACCTTCTCCAATTAGACCAGGTGGGACATACAAATACAGCCACACAAGTGCGATATCTCATAGCCTCCCTAAGGTAAGTAGCAAAACGTTCATCATCCGGTTATTTGTCGGGTTCTGCATTTTGTCCAGTCACCAACGTTGAGTTTTTGAAATATAGACTACTTTCCAACTTAGGAAGAAGAATTTACATTGCGAATTTTTATGCAACTGAACACACCGTTAGCAACAGTCCGGCCTTGTTCGACACAGCAAAATGATCCAGGCAAGGAGACGACCTCTATCTTTTGAGCTGGTATTGTTATCGTTGAGCAGCTGTAAGGCTGTTACATGTATAATCAATATTTTATTCTGCACGTACTTCCGCTGACGCCCCACATGTTTTTCCTCCATTTGCAGCGGATGTTGAATGTCCGGTGGAAACTTTTGAAACAAGACGAACAACCATTTGTCTGCGTTCAGTTTTCAGCAAAAATCTCGGCTTCCGATTGAAAGTCATGGGAACCAACAAAATATCGCGCGCTCTCTTGCAAAATATTACACATTGCTTGTCAGTTGGTCCCGTTTTTCAAGCTAAAATGCTGTAAAACACGTGGAATACTCTTCTGCTTATAAGATGGGACAAAAAGACATGGCAAAAAGGCATTAAACCAGGATTTGCTGATAAATAATGTGATCCAATTTAAGCATGAAGAAGCCAATTCGTCAAAGGTTTATGGACACATTTTTTTGTTCAAGCAGTAGCTAAAACCCTTAATTGTGAACCAATACAACGCTTGGCAGCCAGTTAACCAGGTATGCACAAAGCCGTCGCTGAGACATAAATTTAGGACGTAGCAGTGACTATGGGGCCGATGACAAGCATTTTGAGTTGCCAAAGTTATTACTTGGAATTTCCACAATGATCGCTGGCCAACCATCGTCCCCACAATTCATTAAAATCAATATGAACGTGGCTTTCTTTGATGACTACTTTACTTTCATGTTTGTACGCCAATCAAAGCAAATAAACTTGTGCTCAAGAAACAAAGTTGTCACGCATTAAATTATTTCTGTGCAAAAAAGCTCAACGCGCGCAAACTTAGATGCTGCGTGGATCTGTTTACCGGACATGTGGTTTGTATGTGGCTTGCTTTACTCATCCTCCCTTGAGACAAGGCGTTGTTCTTGCGATACACTCCTACAAAATTTACTCGTTGAATCTGCTTGTGTAGGCAATGAATCCGGCGTCATTTTCTCTGGAAACGTTTTTAAGCAGCGCTTTTTTAGTTGGACCAAAAAGGCTGCGATCTCAAAGCAAGAAATTGTTTAATTAGCATAAACGCACGTTCTAGGTGTCCTATCTGACAGGTAACGTTCAGTCTGATTCACCAACGGACGATCAATAATAATTGCGGGGCAACCGATCTCTACGAACTTCAACTGCGTTTATTCAGCAGTCGTAAATGGGCAGTGAACAATATATTCAGTTGGACATGGGCAGACAGTAACAGATAGGTAGACCGTGGCTCTATAAGAAATTATTAATAAATCGCGAGGAAAAGTAAATAAAGACTCACGGCTAGATTGAACCTCGGGCAATTAGCAGCACAAGATGGCACACGAAGGACAGCGTGGTATCGGACGAATTTTCAACAACAAGCCCAGAAATGAATGTAAACAAAGCGTCTGTAGAAAAGCGGTTGAAGTAGAGTCAACTTTGTCTAAAATACAACAGTTCAGTCTTGAAACTTGAGCAGTCACCGGAAGGGTGATTATTCAGTCTGAGGAATATGGAAACGAATAATTACCTTTCGTAATTAACAGAAAATTTTGTATGCACAATTAATCACCAAAATCATATTTTCAGCAAGACAGTTTTTGCGATCTTATTTAATAATGAATGGTGGATTCCCACGTTAGTGGGAATCGCGTTCAGATAACGCTTTGAATTGCATGACCGACATTTTATGGCACGCTTACCCAAGTTACATGACCACTAATTTTCGTCAAAACAAATTACAAAGGAAATCATGGTGATTTAAATATCAAATTGGTCTGGCAAACTTCACCAAATAATAACCCAGATGCAGAAATCTGAAGGAAATTTAAGTGATTAATAGGCAAAACCAGAAAAGGCTTTTGTGTTACAAGCTCAGGTTTTATCACCATGCAAACATTTGTTAACTTTGGGAGAGAAATGAAACGTTTTGGGGATGAAATGAGATCACGTTTGTTTGATTGCAAGCGTATAAGCTTATCTTGCATAAGTCACAACACACAAGACAAGCCAGTCATAAGGTCGGTTGAATAGAGTTACCTATGAGTTTATTCTTTCACATGCACCAGTTCGTACTGCAAAGTGCAAAACTAACTTCAGCTCTCTACATTCACCCTTGCGTTTTGTAGTCGGTCATCGTATTTCGCAGGTCTGTGGTGAAATTAGGGTGACTTAATGATATATTTGTGTGAGGCCATTTACCGTTACAGTAATCACATTATGTGAATATTTGATTGATTCCTGTCACACTATGCTGGCTGGTGAAAAGAAACTCAAATTTGACTCTCCACCCAAATAAGTTGCGCACTAATTCCACCAAACTTGATAACAGTATTCTTGGTAACTTAAGCGCTTCTGGGTCGTAGCCTCCTATTCAACCCTCTAGGGAGATATGCATCTCAAACTCCGCCTGTTTGGTTGTTAAGTTGTGTTTATCTGCTGCGTATGGACACCGTTAATTTCTAGGTAGATTTCCAATCGGTCCGCTAGATATGACTTTAATCATGTTGACCATGTTTTGGTAAAAGCGAAATTCATTTTATTGGTTAATCGTGAGCTTTTTCCGAGACTCAACATGAATTGCACCAAAATGTATCCACATCACACCAGATTTACTAACACTTGAGGCGTTGTAGCCCGTTTAGCATCCAAAATCATTAAGTGTCCCCGTCTACTGAGCCATGAAGTCATCTTACCGTCATTATTGATTCACATTCTACGCCCACCTATACCCACAAACGCCTAGTTAGTTGTTCTGCTCCCGTGGAGGGGTTCATAGATGCCACGTTACTCAACCTAAAAGTCCAAAAATATCGTTCACACTGATTACTTCGTAATTTGCCTTTATAACCTAGGAACCTGTTTATTAGATTGAGCGAAGATTTCCCTCAAAAAGTGCTTCTAAAAATGGCTGAGGTTTGCCCGCTTCCAAAGACTTTGAAGATAGACTGAGGGGTGTCATCGTTTTGTTATCCAAATGAAATCAATTCCCAGATACGACGCAAAGAAGTTGTTTGTCGCCGTAATTTGATTAACTATTGTACAGTGCACCTGTGTAGTAAACTAGACGAAGGTGTGGTAATACTAATAGTAATGTGGTATTTTCACATCGTAGGATACCTGCCTACTAAGGCATGATCGGGTCGTTACAACATGGCAAGCAACAACACAACGGCGGGAAGTAAAACCAACAAGGCACGCTAATTACATGGAAGGTGATCGTGGTTGTGAGGACGAAAAATTATAATAGGACAATAGGGTATGATGTACAGTTTATACGTAATGCGATACTCATAAGTTCGTCGAAAATTCTTCGACAGTCTACCACCGGTTTCGTCGGTCTTTGAGCTCATGAGATAACCGCAGTTCCCTGGTTTCCGCCGACCTTAAGTGCTAATTGAAACTAAAAACATTTTATTGATAAAGATAGTTGACTTGAACTAAAACTTAATAAACGTTGCTAGCCGTGAGTAAACTTTAGCGGTTGAGTAAATAGTCAGGTTTGCGAAAAATTGAGCTAGATGTGGAAACTCCAAAGCGTTGGCAAATGGTTAACATTATATCCAAGTAGACTCGTTGTTGTTATACAGAATTCAGGTGTGATGGATATTTTTAATGGAAAAATAGTGCTGATGCATGCAGCCGGACGAGAATAACATTAATTTTTTGAAATTGTGGAAGCGGCAAGCTAAATTTCAGCGAAAAACCGGGATGATAAATCAAGATGAAAGGTTCAACGGACTGGAAGGGAGTCGTTCCACAGGGACAGGTGAATAATGTGTTCATAGATGCAGTTTCATGACCGACGAAGTAGAGCCGATAATCAAGAATGGGACGTCGCATGTCGTCGGTGCACTTACATGCTTCGGTTTCTGGACAACTCCGTAGCGGACGACATGATTGCGGAAATCAAATAGGCAACGCGCATTTTCGTGGTATTTTCCATGATTGAAATGAATGACCTATCATTTCATCTCCATACTTGCGCTCACAATCAGCAGCTAGGATATTTTTGAACATATCCTTTCATGGCGTAAATTTTTCATTTCCCCTGGAGAAATTTAACGAGGGAAAACGATAACCACTCTTCTATGGTACACCGCTAACTCTATCTTGCTACTGACTGTTTTACCGAAATCTTGTAAAGTAACGTATGTTGCAATCAATGAATCAATAATAGCTGGAATTATGAGCAAAAGCCCGCCTGGAAGGACGCTGCTTTAATCGAGAATTCACCCATTGATCTTGCCCGTCAACATAACATTCAGTTTGTCAGCCATACTTTGGGTGGATGGCAGCGAGCTTCTCTCATTTTAGTTGAAATGTTGTGAACTTTTGAAGCAACCATAGTGACATGCAGGTATTCAGGAGGCCTTGCGAGTTAACTGGAAAGAAATTGGAAGAAGCATATATGAGCCGTACAACGGAATAACAATTATTTTTTGTAACTTGGTTGAACATTATAAAATTCGTCAATGTTTTCTAAACAAAAGTTATAAGCTGTTCAACCCCTGCAAAATTCCAGTATCTTGTTCCCCAAGGTGCTTGGTTTTAACAATTTTTTACTGGTCAGATGCATCAAATTAAGCAGCAAACAAAGTTTTGTCGTGTGCACTATGAATTAAACAAATGGGCCTGTTCTTACTTACGTTGAGTGCAAAATAGCTCTTCAGTCAGTAGAAAGAAGATAGTTCACGCGCTCTTCATGTTTCACGTTTGAGCAAAAACGGAGCCGATCCTGGAGGCTGGTTCAAAAGCTTCGGCACCAAGGTGATTTGGTTTCTATCCGAAAATTATTTGGGAAAGTTTGTCTGCGC